ACCTTTTTCAATTGGAGAGCTACTGTACCTTCATAAAACAGAAATGGCAGAGAGCTACTCCTTTTTGAGTAGAGTATGAGAACCTTTATTCTCCATTTATATTGGGGCTGTCAAACAATTAAAATTTTAATAAAGTTAATTAGAACTTTAAAATGAATTCATCGTAAATAATCGCATTTTAAACTATCAACAAAATTATGTCATATTTCTGTAAATGGTTGTTTGAATGGAAATATAAATGACACCATAGTGTACACATGTACTGTATTTGTTTATTATAACAACAATAAATCCATATAAATTGGTATTAACATTAATAACTTTCTGTCTTTCTGTAATAGACACTATTTTTTCAGTTCGACATATAACGCTTCAGCTAAAGCCTCCTCTTTATTCTTTTTCTCTGTCTCATAAAAGCTGTGGAAAAATTAGGTACCCCAGCTTTTAATTTAGCGAGTTTATTCGCTTTTCGGGAGGACACACGGAAGAGTCACGGACACTTCCTGAGGCTCGTCCAGCTTCAGCGGTGTATTTATTGCGTGCACAGGTTACACAAAGACACGCACACAACAAGCAGAGAATAGTTCTGTGCGTGTATGGTCTTGGATCGAGTTACAGCGGCGCCGTTCGCCATGTTGTCAAAACGGCTCACAGGCGCTGTTGGTAGGAACCACTGTCCAGAGCGGCCACAGCTGCCCCGGGTCAGAACGCTGCGGTCACGGAGGATGCAGAATCCTGTTTGAGTTTATAGCAAACAACAGCAAGGGCCCCACGGTCAGGCGCGTATTTTTTTTATACTGGTTGTTTCTAGTTTTTAGTCTCTCAAGTAAATCATTCAGGATCATCCTTTTGGTGAGCTATCACAAAAAGGGCGTGGCAAGCTACTGTTGGCTCCCGAGCCACAGGTTTGAGACCCCTGATCTAAAAAATTAAAAATATAGTAATACAATGACAACTAAGGTGGCCTGGAACGGTTGAATAGATGTTGGTATAAAGTACAACTTTACATGGTTGTAATAATCAAGAGAAAGTAAAGTTTTGAGAAATGGCAAAATGTGATTTTTAGAAACCATGTGTCAAGCACAATGTTTAGCCACAGTTGTTTCATGTCAGTAATCCATGTGTGATTGACAGTGATACACTCATCATGAGATTACATATCTACCCTCAGGGGAAACCGTTTTGAGTTTGACTAGTTGACAGTCAATTGTGACAACTGAGAGGATAAAAGGATTATTATTATTATTTTAAGATTACATCATTACAATATGAAAAAACAGAAAGCAGACAGTTCCAGTTTTTAGACTTCCCTGAAATGTTAGCGCCATGTAATGTTTGTACAAATAAAAGTACTCTAATTCTATTATCAGGGACTAGCGTAGCCTGTGTGTGTGTGTGTGTGTGTGTGTGTGTGTGTGTGTGTGTGCACTTGTTTTCAACTCCTGGTGGGTTCCATAACCTGAGATTCCACTCACGTCATGGGGACTGGTTTTACGTGGTGGGGCCCGAACACCGGACCCCACTGGTCCAAGCTTAATAATCAATGGGTAATGCTTTTCGGTCCTTATGCAGTCTCTGTAAAAATATGGAAAGGACCCCTGGAGGTTTACTTTCCTGAAAAAAGTGTGTTATGTGTCGGAACCCTGGTGGTGGGTTGCGGGATATCAAGGAGGGGCACACTGGGGCAATTTCAGTCCAGCAGGCTGGAGCCAATCATGGAGCAGCACAACAGAGGCTGGAGCCAATCATGGAGCAGCACAACAGAGGCTGGAGCCAATCATGGAGCAGCACAACAGAGGAAATCAGGTGTCAGGCTAGAAAAGGTGCAAGTGTGTGGTTCATTAGGCTGCAGCCAATCACAGAGCAGCACACTGAAGCGCACGCTTACAAACCACTGGTAAGTGCTGACTACAAGTCATGACTTCAAATTGTTATATAGAATTATTACTAATTATTTGTTGTTTGTGCAGCTTAGTCAAGAGTCCCTAATTGATGAAGTCGACTCAGATTCTGACGATTTAACTGTCAAGAAGAAACCTGTAAAAAAGTATGGAAAAAGAAAAATCAAAAACACTTTTCTTCAAGACTCGGAAAGTGACGAACCAAAGGCAAATAAGATTGTTATCATGCAGCTGCAAAAGAAGAAAAATGGGGGGCGAGTTTACAGCAAGAGACACTTCTGCCTCTACTGTTCAATGTCCTGCCACAAAATGTCCCGTCATTTGACTAGAAAACATGGAAATGAAAGTGACGTAGCCAGAGCATTGGCTCTACCTGTGAAATCTAAAGCACGTAAACTTCAGTTTGATTTGATCAGGAATAGTGGAAACCGTGAGCACAATTTTGAGGTTTTAAAGGCCGGCATTGGAACTTTAGTCCCAGCTAAACAGCCAAATTCCCCAGTTAAATCCAGTGAGTTTTTGCACTGTATAGACTGTGGGGCATTGCTTAAGCGAAAGTCGCTGTGGAGGCATGTGGCCAGGTGCCGGCTTTCACAGAAAGATGCCCAGGCTAAACCAGGCTAAACCAGGTAGAAGTAGGGTCCAGTCCCTCTGCTCCCTAGCCCAGCCTGTACCGGCGGGCATCAGCAAAAAGCTGTGGTCTTTAATTTCGGCAATGCATCAGGATGAGGTCACGGGTGTTGTCAAAGCAGAAAAGGGGATTCTGAGACTCGGAGAGCACCTGTACTTAAAACACGGGCATGATAAGACTAAGCATGATTACATTAGGCAGAAAATGAGAGAAGTCGGTAGGTTAATTAACGAAGCAAAAACCGCAGGGAAACTGAAAACAATTAAGGATTTCTTTATTCCTTCCAACTTTAACCATGTGATTGATGCAGTCAGGTCTGTGGCTGGATATGATGAGGAAACAAATCAATACAAGACTCCATCCTTGGCCCTCAAACTCGGCCATAGCCTCAGAAAGCTAGCAGATATTCTTGAATGTGACTCAAAAATGGAGCATTGTGTTGATGAACTATTTATTAAAAACCTCCAACGAAGCCGGCTGCTTTTTGAGAAGAGGTGGGACGTCTGTGTTTCTTCTGCTGCCCTACAGACCCTCCGGCAAGCCAAGTGGAACACTCCGGACCTGCTCCCTCTGACTGAGGACGTTAGAGCCATGCATGCACATATTGAGGTATGTCGACCTGAATATGTGCAAACCCTAATAAGTGAGCCAACGTCTAAGCATTGGTCTAAACTGGCAGTTTTGACTCTTTGTGAGGTCATTATTTTCAATCGAAGAAGGGAAGGTGAGGTTTCAAAGATGCCACTGACAGCCTTTACCTTAAGAAGTAAGACTGGGATCCATTCTGACATTGCTCTGGGACTGTCCCAACTTGAGAAAAAGCTGTGTCAGCATTTTCAACGCATTGAAATTAAAGGGAAAAGAAGTCGGAAAGTGCCGGTTCTTTTGACTCCTGAAATGATTGCTTGGATGGAGGTGCTGGTGGAGAACAGAAGGGCCTGTTCCATCTCTGACCATAACCCATACTTCTTTTCCCGCCCGGGCGCAGACACCCACATCAGGGGATCAGACTCCCTACGCCAGGTAGCCAAAGAATGTGGTGCGGTGCATCCAGAGATGCTATCCTCAACCAAACTTAGAAAGCACATAGCTACTATGTCTACAGTTCTCAATATGAAAGAGAATGAGATGGACATACTTGCCAACTTCCTCGGCCATGACATTCGCATCCACAGGCAATATTACAGACTACCAGAGGGGACACTGGAGCTGGCCAAAATCAGCAAAGTGTTGATGGCCATGGAGCAGGGAAGAGTGACGGAATTCGAAGGAAAGAGCCTCGACCAGATACAAATTGAGCCTGAAGGTAATTCTTGATATTATTAAAATATGTATGATTTTTTTCCCCTAAAGGCCACTTGTATTTTTATTTTCTGTGCGACAGGGAGAGCAGTAGAGATCCTCTCACAAACGGACGGGCTAAAAGAAACTTCAAGCGGAGAACCTTCAACCATTCATCCAGATGCACCCCATGGTAGTGGCAGTGCCCCTTCTGGTAAGTGTACCAGGTGGGGGATTACAGCCAGGCTGCTTGGTCCTAACCCTGGGAGTGTATATTGCTAATATATTTTTATTTCTCTCCCTAGAACGTTAGAGAAAGCCATGGTCTGCATCTGAGGTGAAGGCTGTGGAGAAGACCATGACACCTTTCATACAGACTGGAAAGGTCCCTGGGAAGTCTCACTGCCTGGCCTGCATTAATGCCTCACCAGATGACCTTAGACATCGGACATGGAGTGGCATTAAATTCTATGTCAAAAATAGAATCACTGCAATTCAAAAAAAAAATCTAAAATAAAATTCCTTTAAAATAGTTGTTTGGTTTCTATTGACTGTTTTGTATTACTTAAAGTAGTCCCAGTAAAAAAAGATTATGTCTATGGGTCCCATTCTGAACGGCCCTGTCAAAGGGACCCACCAGGTAACAAAAACGTGTATGTGTGTGTGTGTGTGTGTGTGTGTGTGTGTGTAAATACTATATGTCACAATGGCATGTGATATGTTCATATGTTCATACTTTGTGACTTTTACTTACATAAATAAAAATAATTCTGATTCTAAATGCACATCAGAATAAATATTGCATCAGTACATTAAACTGATTGAAATTAAAATGAAGGCATGATCTTGAAAACATCTTGGTGAGACTCCCTGGACATAAAGTTATCAACTCAAATGGCCATAGGAGTCATTCACAGCACCAGCACAGGTAGAGGCACTTGAAACTACATCACAAAGAGAAACTGGAGAGACATGTTAAGAGCTACTGTACACCCTGGTCTCAATGAGGAGGTAATTGTTACGTATCCTTACAGTGCTCTGAGGGCTCTGTCTTTTAATTCTTTTTTATGCTGCATCACAAAATGTGTAAGTCACCAGAATTGTATCTATCCAATACTAATGTAAACACTGGAAAAGAACAAGGTCCATTGGGTCCTAAATTATAAATAAGCCATATATATTTGCAGGTTGGATGGAGCACAGCACGGGACTACTACACGTTCCTCTGGAGCCCCATGCCTGAGAACTACGAAGCAGGGAGCAGCGTACACCGGACTGTGGTGTTCCAAGGTAACTCCAAACTTTTCATGTTGCATATAAAGCTCTTATATTTTAATAAGGCAACACAACTGCAGAGGGAGAGGGAGAAAGGTTTGGGGCCGGTCACACATGAGCCAGTGAGAAGACATGTAATCCCTCAAATAGTTCAAATGGCATCTCTCGTCTCAAAGCCTCTTATAGCGATGGCAATGTTTTGCTTTAGCAGTAGAGTTTGATTAATCCCAACTTTTATGGGCTTAGTGAATAGGGCCCTGGGTCAGTTTTTAAATAAAGAGGAACATGATTGTAACATGGTTAAAAATGTTGCACAGGTTCACTCTGCCGTTCTTTTGTGAGATCAATAAAGTATATCTTATCTTATTCGTCAATGTATAAATGACATTAAGCCACCAATAGGACTTTTTTTTTTAACAGGGTACTATGTCCCAAAGTCTGATGGGGAGTTTTACCAGTTCTGTTATGTGACCCATTCTGGGGACATCCGCGGGGCCAGCACTCCTTTCCAATTCAGAGCCCCCACTCCCACAGAGGAGCTGCTGACCGTGACGGAGGACGAGGCCAACTCAGACATCCTGGTGGTCAGCACCAAGAGTGGCCTGCTGCAGGTATCACTCTGATATTTTCAACTTACTTTTCATTGAAGGATTCATGTAACCCAGTTTGTCACATGAACTTAAGTGTCTGTGATTCATCAATGATGAAAACAGTGGTTAGCGTGTCACTGCAGAGGACACTGGTTTACTACACTGTGTGCTGTGTCCAGAGGGTGGAGGAGGCCCAGCAGGAGCGACAGGAGCTGCTCAACACCATGCGCCTCCTCCAGGAGGACAAGCTGCAGCTGCAGGAGGAGCAGAGGCGCCTGGCCCAGGAGAGGGACCACGAGAGAGACACATGTGCTCTGCTGCGGACGCACAACCAGGTGTGAGCTGATGTTTCCTCTGAGAGGTTTATGTTCTGCCACAATAATCAAGATATTTGTGCACACGTTCTAAAAGATGGTAATGGTTCAAGATCATGTTTAGGGATCAAAGTGAATGCAACTATTGTGAAACATTGAATTAGTCAGAAAAAATGCCATCAGATATTTATTCAAATAGACGAGACTCTCCAGAGCCACAGTGCAGGAGCCATGTCCCCTGTGTGTGAGCCACCAGCAGCAGCAGCTCTGTGGCGCCTTTACGACCTGAGTCAGGGCCAGAGCGGAACTGGAACGCCACCACAAGGCCCCTGCAGCCCGCTGACGTCAAACCCCCTCCCCTCTGGCACCACGGGGCCCCACACATGTGCCAGCGCGCAACAAACAACACAAACACGCTCATTATGCCACCCTCCTGCAAAAAGCCTTTTAGAGCGCGGGGTTCGAGGGGGGAGTGAGGGGGAGTGAGGGCGAGTGAGGGGGAGACGGCAGCCCTACCCACAGCTTCAGCCCCGGGGACAAACTGCACCCAGTCACGCGATCGCACTGGCCAGCTCCGCGCTCCGGCTATTTTCAGCCAGCAGCCACCGGCAACATTCCACTTGCACGCTGAGAGAGCAGCCATGGAAACATTCACACACACTCACTCACGCAGCTAGCATCCACACACTCAACAAACAACACACACACACACTTAACACACACATTCAGGTTGGCTGATATATTATTGTTTACGATTCATGATAACATGACACTAAGTGTTGTAGGTTTTTTTCAATTCTAGTTTGAAATTAATCAGCCAATCAGCTCTCAGCCAAAGTGTCAAATATGGTCTCACAGGGGTCTTTCTTAGAAGTATGCAAAAGATTATTATGTTGTCCCCCTGCTATAACTTTCTTTTAACACATGGTGCAGTTTATATTTAAAAAAAGTAATTCAATATATTTTCACAAATATCAATCTTAAAATATTAACAATAATAAGACAAGAACAGATTGTTAGATTGCTGCTCAATAAATACTTATTTTTATAATCATTTAAAATGTGTAATAATATTATGATTTTAATATTTTAAAATAGTCAAAATATTGTCATTAACATCCACAAAATAAAAAGCATATTTCAAATACTGTTCATCTTCTGTCTCAATACTCAATTAGTGACTGGAAGCAGATATAGTTCCAAAAGCTCTAACTGGAAGCATTCCCCAGAGGTTTAGTGGGGGAGGGGTCCGCAGAGGACTCTGGTCTCATAGCGCCTCCTGGTGTCGGTGTGTGGGACAGCCCAGTTCTCCTCTGCTGAAGCTGTATATTTGGAGCTGCACCTGGAGGCCTGCTCCGGCATGACTGCCCTCACATGGGGCCTGCGTTTTCATCTCCCATCAAACAGGACCATCATCTGTTTTATGTTCGATTGACTTTAAACCAAGTGATATTCTTTTGGTAAAACTACTATCAAAGTTCATATTATAAAGTTTATATCAAGAAATATCATTTAAGTGAATACAAAAGTGCTGGTAGATGGAGATAGCCTTAAATCTGTCTAAATATTGTTGTAAATAACAATTCCTGTTTATCAATTAGTGGCTCGATTATTCTTTCAATATATTGATTTATTTACATCCTGAAAGGTCTGTGAATATGGTTAGGGTTAAGGACATCTTCATAGACTACGTTACACATTGGGTTGTCTGATTCAAAATACTTTGTAAACCCTTGAAATCCCCGCTGAAAGATCAAGGCTTTGCCATAGAGCAGCCATCCTCCTGTGGACTCACCACCTGCAGGAGCATCAGTGAGGGGCTGGTGGTAAGTCTCTGGCCACCCCCCGACCCATAAATAGATAAAGGGGTAGAAAATGGATAGAGGAATGGACTTTGTAATAATTTTTTTTACTTAATTCTGCAGTTATTGTAGAATTATTATATAATATATCATATACTGTATGTGATATAATATTATATTAGTTATTAAACCTCTCCTTAGCATGTGTATCTCAATGGAAGGTTCAACAAATAAATAAACTATTTCCATAACCGTTGCAATAATCATTTCACTTGTAGTGTCTGTACATTTATACATTTGACATTATTTTTGTTGGTTTTGCGTCCTCAATGTGACAGATAACCAGAATTAGGTGATTTGACCACAATAACATCATTACTATTATTGTGGCCAAATCACCTAATTGTAAAAGTATGTAAACATATGTAAACATACTTTACATTTGTATAGACCTAATTCACAAAAGCGTCATCCCGAAGGACTTTGCAATATTGTCAACGACAGATTTTTAGAAAACTGTTAGAACACAGGAAATGCAATAACAAGAAGCACACATTTACTACAAATTTTCATATAAAATAAGATATTAAGATTAAGATTACTGACTTACTCCCTTTCAAAGGTCCATTGAGCCATTGGTTCATAGGTAGTGGATGACCAATGTCCATCAATGTCCTGGATCATTGCTGTCTTTAGACCTTCCTGCACGCCTCACCCTTTTCATTTGAAACAATGGTACATATAAACTGTCTATATATATATAACCCACAATTGTTTGGCACATAAGATAATCAGGATGGTCTTGAATTTATCTTTATTTCTAAGATACATTTAAAAAAACAAATATTCAGCGTGTGTGCGTGTGTGTGCTCGTGGTGCCTTTCGTTCTGAAAGTGCGAGCCTGCAGAATTCTAACTTAGGATGCTTTCTCAGGCCTGCTATGAGTTCCTCCTCTACTTTCTTTTTATGAAGGACAAAAGAGCCATAAACGTGGTGGTTGTACTACAAAGTCTGTTATTACCACGTCGCTCTCACTCAACGTCTCTGTCCGCGCGCAGATGCGTACGCGTGCCAAGCTTACAGTAGGTGCGCTGGAAAGAAATCCTCCTTTGAGTCTGTCGCGCATGAAAACATAAGTACATATTTTGCGGCTGCTAATTTTACGACTACACTTTTTATAAGGTCTTTATGCACTGCTAAAGTACTTCCCCAAACGCACCACCGTAAAAAACAGCATAGGGAAATCTCCAGGCCAGGACACATGAGGAGGAGCCAGCCTCTGTGGGTGGACTGACGGAGGAGGCCTGCCAAATCACTTCTTTGTTTCACAGAGGGAGAAAGAAATGTATTTTAAGTTTATAGAGGACCTGTCCTTTTTCATACACTTAAAAATTACACTCTTTACAAGTTTTACCCACCGGACTCTGACACTGACAGCGGCCAACAACTGGGATTTTAAAACTGTTTAGCCTGAATTTGTGCTGCTCTGGTCTCTCTTTAAAGTGAGGTTTGAGGGAGCTGAAGTTGGCTTATTCCAACCATAGACCGTAAATATTAACGGACGTAGTCACGCCTACCTCCGCCGTTCAAACTATCGTACAACTTTTGGCTTCTATGGGCAGTTTCAAAATGGCCACGGGAGCAGGAAAATGTGAAAAAACGCATTTGCGCATGCGTCAGCCAGCACTAGCCCCATTCATTTGACGAGTGCCTTCTGAAGTCCACAAAGGCTAAACTAGACTGATCCAAAAAGACTTTTTTTGTGCGGTTGGTGTTTAGTTGTTAAAAGGGTAGAGTTTGGGGTTGGGGGAGAAGGGGAGGGAGTGGGGGGTTCTTAGTCTTAGTTTTGAGTGACCGTAACCAGTAGAGCTTGGTTCGGTCTGTAGACAACTGTCTTTTGTCTTCTGATTTGCTTTTTCTTCTGACCGTAGTGAGGAGAGTGATCCTCCTGCAGGTTCTGGATCTGCTTCTGGGGGTGTTTCTTCTCCCGATGTTTTGTGGCCACAGTCAGTTCCTTCTTAAGGCGTTCTTAAGAGGCTTCTCTTAGTGAACTTTTTGCCTTCGCCTCCTCAGATGTGATCCAGGTTTCTTTCATGCGATGGATCTGTGCCTGGTGGTTTAGCTCCACACGTTCCATCACTTCGACTTCTTCGGTGTTCTCTTTAGGCCTGCAGAATCCTGGCCTGACATTCCTCCTGCATCTGTCTTGCATTTTAAGTGTTCCTCCTCCATATCTGCAAAAACAGAGTTTCTTAGAAAAAACTTTCACTATACTCTTTCTGATCCTGATCCTGCATCCTGGTATTCAGCCCTTCAATATAATGTTCTTCATCTAGAAGACGAGAGTTCATTAGTTCTAATATGTTCTTTTTTATTTTTGGACTTTTAAGAGATGTTTCCAAACCTCTGATGATTGGGTCCTTCTGCTGTCTCTCCTTTTCAGAACTCTTCTCCAAAGCCCTCAGAGTCTGTTGTGTGAACTGCAGTTCTGAACACACGGCCTTCTCCTCCTTCAGGGTTGTGGGCATGTTGGTGAACTCCTGGTTCATTTTCTCATACCTGGCACAAGCCTCTTTCAGGTCTTGAACCTCGTCCTTTTCCGTCTGCAGCTCTGTGGTGGTTTCTTGCAGACAGTGTTAGAGGCTTTTCTTCTCCTGGAGGGTTGGCGCTGGAACAAACCGGAGGAATTCTGAAAGGCTTCCTCCAGAGCAGATTTCTCAGTCTGCAGTCGTGTCACTTGCGCCTTTAATTGTTGCCTTTCTTCTTGTTGAGCCTTGACCAGTTCACTCTTCTTGTTCTTCAGTCTCTGGTTTGATTCTTCTGCAAGAACCAAATTATCCTCCATGGCTTCGTAGAGCTCCTTTTTCTATTAGTTTCTTCTCAAACAAAACATTTTGTGTGTGCTGTTTTGATCACTGTTTAAAATTGCGTTAGGTAAACACTGCACTGGTACCTCAAACAGAATCAATGTTTGTCTTTTGATAATTCTTTAAGGGCCAAAAAAGTTTTCCAAAAATAATTGACATGAGTCGATCATGTCCTCTTTTATCACCTTTTATTTTTTATGTAAAGCGAGAAAAAATCAAGAAAATGTTGCAAAACAGGAGAATGACAGAGAGAATAAGGAAAATTATGATGATAATAAAGTTAACAAAATAATGGAGTATTTAAGTTATTTCTAATCTTCATTGATTTACCCAGCCCTGTAGTAATACTGAGCTTCATTGGATGTTATTTAATATTAAGTTTGTCAGATGATTTACAGCTTTTATGTGACGGTTGGGACATGTCAGATCACAGTAGCGATGTCACATAGTAAAGTTTTATGATTTCAATTAGTAAAATTATAGAATAGGTCCATTCATCTACCACTCACATGGAGATAACGACAATCAGATAGCAAATCGTTTCTAGAATTAAAAGATCATTTGTGCATAATAAAGCAATTATTTGACATTCATTTGACAAGACAAGAAATGTCTCATATCAATGCTTAACTAGTGTGTATATGTGTTTACTTTATGGCTGCTACGGTAACTGCTGCTGCTACGACATTAGCTCAGTTGGTAGAGCATTGGCCTTTGAGCCTGAAGGGATTCGAGCCCACCACAAGACTTTCTCCACCTTGGCAAGACACTTAACCTCTGGGAACACCTGATGCCACAGTGGGGCGGCTGCGGCTGTAAAGTGCCAAACTGCTGTTGTGTTTTTTGGCAAGACACTTCACCCCCATTGCCTAGAATGAGTCTAGTGTGTGTGAATGGTTGGTGGTGGTCGGAGGGGCCGATGGCACATATTGGTTGCCTGTCTTCTTTCAGTGTGCCCCAGGGCTAAGTATGGAGGGAATGAATAATGACATGTAAAGCGTCTTTGAGTGTCCAAAAAAGCGCTATATAAAACCAATGCATTATTATTATTATTATTATTATTATTATTATTATTATTACCTCTACACATCTCATGGAACAAGACGTGCTGAAAAATTTACTAAACTTGAAAAATGATGGATTATTTTTAATCAAATTGTCTCTGCTGTGACCTAAAGTGCTGCTGTATTTTATTTCTATTGTTAGTAACTTTTGGATTTATGTACTATGTAGTCTGTATGGATGAATGTTTCTGCTGCTGGACACCTGAATTTTTCTTACGGGGATCAATAAAGTATCTATCTATCCATCTATCTACTGTAGTCAGACTTGTCATACTGGCTAAAAAGGCCAGAAGGAAAGAGTTGTAAATAAACTTGAGACATCTGTGTGAGTGAATCCTGTGGAACAAAGTAAGTTTTTCTCCCAGCGCAGAGCAGTGGGCGGGTCCGCAGAGGTATGTCATCCTGTCAAAGAAATTCTCAATAAGATTTACTGTCCCTCGCGGAGCTGCGGCAAGTTGAAACACGGCCTCTTTCCCACTGCTTTCGCTCCACATCCATCACAGCACAACATGCCATAAACGCAACAGTGTGGACGTGTGATTGTTCTACGCCGTCACAATATTAATGCGCTCCTTAGTTTTTACTTGCATGTATCTTTGAAGATCATAAGCAGCTTGTCGTCATTTGTAAAGGTTGATTTGTGGCCGGGTCAGTAAGATAAGGCTAGTACCCTGGAGCTGAATCCACTGCTGGTTTTAGACGTGTAACTCTTGAAATATTGTGTCCTAGATAAGACGATCTGATTTTATTGTGTAGTACACTCGGTTCATTCTTACTGTCTTAAAACTTGATCGGATTTTCTCATTCCAAGGGAGACATTTCTTGTATCTGCAATATTCAACATACACTTAGGGTCACATGCTTTTGGTAATTCATCTAAGTGAAAGCATAACCTGGTATATCCCTGCAGGGAGGACAGAAAAAGGAAGGGCTCTGGCGTATAATGATATGAATTGAAATGTGTTGTGTGTTGTAGGAGCTTCTGCGCTCGTCCCAGGGCCTGTCGGAGGAGAGGGAGGATGTGCGCAGGCGTCTGAGTGAGGCCACAGAGCGAGTGAGAGGGCTGGAGGAGGAGCTGCTGGGAGTAACACAGAGAGGCCTGCAGAAGGACACTGAGCTGCTGTGGTGAGTGAGAGGAGGAGCTGTGGAACTTCAGATTCAATTAAATTAAATTTATTTTTGTGTAGCCCAAAAAAATAACAGTAGACATCTCATAGAACTTTACAAACCGTCCAACACATATCGGAGAATAAAAAAAACCAATAAATAACAAAACAAAAACAAAAAATTGTAAACCGCTTTGTGACTCTGGTCTGTGAAAGGTGGTATATAAATAAACATTACTTACTTAGTGACTTACAAACCATTCAAACACAGGAAATGCAACGATATAAAGCACATAGAGCCATTGGTCCATAAGGTCCATACATTTTGTTGAATGTTGAGTGTCCTGGATCGTCACAGTCACGTCTGGACATTCCCTCACGTTCAGCTCGTTTCTTATCCTATCCTTCAAGTCATTTGAAACATACCTGAGTATCTGATCTGATACTTCTGACCTCCCACTTTCATCTAAAGTAAACGTGATGCTAGTGTACGTATGCCCCTCTGCTGCCTGCAGTCTCCGTGAGCGTCTGAAGAAGCTAAGTGGAGAGCGGGATACTCTGGAGAGCCAGCTGAAGAACGACAAGGACGAACGCGACCTGTACAAGGTGTGTCATTGCACACTCTTCTTGTGAAAATACTGATTCACTTCATACGCGCACACACACACACACACAGTGTTCATTGCCTCATTTATGTGCTTGAAATGTCTGTCCGTTGTCATGATGATAATGGTTGTCATAGTAACAGTTACCATGATTGTTCCCCTATTGATGTAGGCCATGGTAACAGTTGCCCTAGTGATGGTTCCTAGGGTAAAAGTTGCCATAGTGATTGCCATAGCAACGGTTGCTACAGTTGATGGATGGGTTCTCATAGATATGGTTGCTAGGGTAGTTGGCATAGCAACGGTTGCCATGGTAATGGTTGTCATAGTGAGGGTTTCCATGGCAACAGCCACCATGACAATCGTTGCTATCAAAATCACGATGGAAACTTATCGCAATTGTTGCCTTGGTAACCATAATCATGGCAACTGTTACCTTAGCAGTCACCTTAGCAGTGACCTTAGCAGTCACCATGGCAACTGTACCTATGGCAACTACCCTGTTCCCACAGTCATTGTTACCAATGACCAGTGTCCATAGTCCATAGTGACTACCCTGGCAACCATCCTTATGGCAACAGGAAACAAACTCCGAAGAAAGTAGTTGCAAGAACTTTGCATTAAAAGATTAACCAGATCTCCTTGCACCCCCATTGCAATTGCTCTGCGCCCCCACTTTGGGAACTATGCTAAAATATCACATGCATTCTGTGAAACTTTGGTCGTGTCTCGTCTCTACCACCACAATAAAACATGATCTTATCGTGGTTTTATGTGCAAAATGAGCAAAAACACTTGTAATTATGCTCAATACTTTTAAATAAATAAAAAAAAACACAGAGATTGAGAGAAAATTCTCTCTGCCAGTTGGGGACCAGTTTCTAATAGTGAGACATCTCACACTTGGTACTCAGTGAACCAGGGTAACGGAGCCAGTATTCTGGTCTGGTATCATATGGTATCTGTGTGTGTATGTGTGTGTGTGTGTGTGTGTGCGTGTGTGTGTGTGTGTGTGTGTGTGTACTTAGGCCCATGTGCGCAGCACAGAGCTGGAGAACACTAAGCTGAGTGCAGAGCTGCAGATGTTGAAGGCTGTGGAGCTGAACAGAGAAGTGACCATCGCACAGTTCCAGGAGGAGCTGGAGAGGCTCAGACTGTGTGTTTCTCAGAGAGACAGTCTGGAGAAGGAACTGCTGCAGCACAAGGCCGACAAGGTACATGCTCTCTGTGACTCATTAGGTTCACCATTCACATTCACTTCATCAATCTCTACTTGAACAATAGTGCATATCATTCACAGGTACTTTTTTGGCTTTTTAGTACACCTTTCCCATTTTTTGGCAAAAAATTATGTAATTGATGGTCCTCATTTATTTGTTTGAACCAAATCTAGAAGGTAGCTTTGGCTCAATGTGGCTCATGTGCATGTGACAGTCTCCATTCCCTTTTCATGTTGTTTACCTGAAGCGTGTGTGAAATGCACACGTTTGTGGATATGCTAAAAACGCATGTGGCAGTGAGGCCAAAGCTCAGTCAAACTCAGCCTGCCTGGGAGATTGGGCTTCACTGCACTAGTACTTTATATTTTTGAGGTATGGTTTACAATTGCCATACAATCACAAAATCAATGTTTTCATTTTGTAGTATAATCTTTTTCCCCTTCTAAAAAAAAAAAACGATATATATAAAAAAATACTGAGCAGTATTGAATCGCTAAGAAATATATTGCATGGAATTGAAAGCCCCCTGTGTCTCACATGTGGAAGAACTAAATTATTATTGTGTTACTTAACGGATAGAGTTCACATTGAGGAACCTTTTTCCTTCCTGGCCGAAAGTGCAGTGGGTATTTTCGTTGAATAATTGAGTCTGCATTTGTCTTTCATGTTCTGTGTGTTTGACTCACATTGGCTTTGGTGCTGTGCTCAGGCAGAGCTGTCCCGTGTTCGAGAGCTGCTCCGTCAGACTGAAGAGCAGCTGCACGCCTCCAGGCAGCAGGCCTCTCTGTTGGCCTCAGAGCTGCGAGACTCCACCAGCGCCCGCGACCTCTCCATGAGCGAGCTGTACCGAGCCCGCCTGCAGGCCGACAAGCTGAGGGCCAGTCTGTGTGAGGCGCAGGCCGAGTGCCAGCGAGCAGAGAACCAGCTGGAGCGCATGAGGAACGCGGCGCACTCTCAGACACTGGTGAGCACCGCTGGTATCAACACCTTCATACACACATGACGAGCTTGTATGAAGTGTCCGCTATGTCATAGGTAGGTAGATAGATACTTTTTTGATCCCTGTAAGATAAATGCTGGTGTTTCGCAGCAGAAACACATCCATCCATACAAACAAATAAATACATAATTCATAGTAATAATAGTAAGAAAGTGCAACAGTACTTTAGGTCACAGCAGCGGAGGTGGTGTAGCGGCTGGTGATGATCTGCTTCCTCTGGGTGATGTATGTACAGTCTGTTTGGGTCGGACCATTTTCTCTGCTTTGGTTCAAAGTGAAATTCTAGTGTAAAGCCGAATGTTTCAGAGTAACTTTGGACTTGCTACCATTTCCAGTGCATTCAAAATTAAGTATGTCGTCAGGGGAATGCATCACAATCTGAAGGTTGTGATATAAAGAATACTTTTTAAAGTTACAGTATTATATCTATGACCATTTTTATACAAACATATTTCAACTAAAAGTAGATTAATCTGCTCTAAGAATCAACCACTTAGAACCCATACAGATATTTTTTGTTTCTGTTCTGCCTATTGACGGTTTTTGTTTAAAATGATGTATTACATTTGTTGGAGCTGAAGTTGCCTGAATGATAATTGCTTAGTTTCTCCCTAAATACTGTGTTCTGGAAGTCCCAATCTTTAAAATGATATGCCCAACCAATGCTCAGCCAGACCATGGCTCACTGTGTGTTGTGTGTCAGGCGGCGGGGCCCGGTGCAGAGGCCCTCCCCAGTATCCTGGTGGTGTCCGAGGCAGAGGTGGAGCTCCAGAGGGAGGTGGAGGAGCTGAAGCTGCGCCTGCACATGGCTGCAGAGCACTACAAGGAGAAGTACAGGGAGTGTCAGAGGCTGCGGCGGCAGGTGGCCAAGCTCAGCAGCAGCCCAGAAGCCCAGGGGGTAAGTACTGGGTCCTCTACTAACACATGTACATACATACACATGTACCGTATCTGCTGTCATGGTAACGCTGACTGTGCTACAGGAGCCGAAGAGAAACGTGTCCACAGAGACAACACAGGGGCCACTGACCTCCGGCCCCGAGTCCCCCACAGCAGGTAATCTTCACACTATTGATTTCAGGCAAAAGTGTAGGTTTTAGTGTATTTAGTTTAGGAAGTATTAAGAAACAGAGAAACAAATCCATGGCTTGTTTGTGTGCCAGCTTTATTTGTTTACAAAGCAGCAGTGAAACTAGATCACTCTTCTAGTCCAGTTTGATTGGATTGAGCAAGACTCGAGTCAGTTCGGCGCAACTAGATGAAATCCTTTCCACTGCATCTACTGAGTCCAGGTCAGTAGATGCATTTAAGAGCACAGGGGAAAGCCATGCTTCTGACTCACTCATTTTGATAATTGTGATGAAGTGGTTCATTGTTTTGTTTTGGTTTTGTTACAGGCAAAAGCGGGAATAATGGCGTGTTTAATTGTGCTGTGGAAATGCAAATGAGTGAACCTGTGTGAAAAATCCAATCCTAGATTCTTAATTCTTCTTGAATTCTAAACATAGTCATAGTCAAGTGTAAAAGTTGTCAATGTTTTGGAATGGAATATGTTTTTAGAAGCATTTGTGATCAGCCGGTATGCCATTGGCCAGAAGTTAAGTTATATTTCGACTTTCAAATTTACAGGTGGTATCTGCAACTTCAATTGTATTTCATTTAGAAAACAATGTATTTTTTGACCATCTGACCCGTTAGTATCGTCTATATTTAGTATTTTTCTTAGTAAATATATTTAAAACAGTCCCTCACCTTGGCACCAGCAGTCGGATTTGCTTACTTGTCCAATCGGGAACCTGTGGTAGTGGGTCTCACGGTCGCAATTTCAAAAGTAACTGACCTTCACTTTAGGTAAGATTAGGTACGTATGATTAATTTTTTATTGCCCGACTTTTTATTTTCACAGAGAACATAGAAAGTGCAATACTAGAAGAAGTGATGACAATTAACCCTGAAGAAAAGGACGGGACGCACACGCTCATCCAACCACTCATCTGCTCTGAGACTGCTGCGGGGCCCAAGCATCTCTCCGAGTTTCCCACACACCTCATACTACATCCCAAAGAAGTCCAAGCAGAAGACGAGCTAACAGAGAGGACCCAGAGTCTCCCGCTGGGCAGCTGGGTGCAGGTGGACACACAAGTGGAGATGCAGGGCAGTGACAAGGAGGAGGGAACGGAGGACACGGATACAGACTCGGAGGACGATGACGAAAGCAGTCAGGAAGAAGCAGGAGAGCAGAGCAGTCCCACAGAGGAGGAGATGAGCCCTGCTGCAGAGGAAAAGGCAATCATCAAGGTGGAGGAGAAAATCAACCCCTCTGTGGAGCAAAAGGCAAGCATCAAGGTGGAGGAGCAAGCTAGCCCAACGGCAGAGGAGCAAGCCAGTCCCTCTGTGGAGGAAAAGACTAGTATCAAAAAGGAAGAGCAAGCCAGTCCCACACTGGAGGAGAAGACACAGATAAAGGCGGAGGAGAAAATCATTCGCCCCACAGTGGAGGAGGAGCGAGCAGCCAGCCCCACGGTGGAGGAGGAGCTGGCCCTGATGGAGCAGAAGTGGAAGGAACAGTGCGTTATCAATGAGACGCTCAAACAGAGACTGGCCAATGAGGAGGAGCGATTCAGGGTGAGTTTCAAGCGTGCCGACAGTATTCTCAGACTAGTTAACTCATGTTACTCTGCAGCAGGAGACAACAATGATGACTGTGAGTGCTCAGAGGGTTCACAGGAGTTGTAGCAATGATAGAAAACACAAATTAATCATGTGTTGGACCAAAAAGGTCTTGGTTCTCTACCTTTGCAAAGGCCAGCAAGGTCCTTTTACAGGTAGTGCACTCGTCAATACTCTTAATTCATTTACAGGTACTTGTTTTATGTTTTATTATTATTCAGCAATAAAATGAGGGATTGGTCCCACTGATTGAGACAAGCGTTTCGGGGAATGCACCTGGTATAAAGTTAAAATACATCTTCTGACCAATGACATGCACAGTAGAGCCCAGAGTGAAGGAGGCTGATAAAGCTAACTTCTTCTGTCTTCTAATGTCTTCTAAAAACAAATACTGCCACTTTTACTAGACTCTGTTGGGACAAATAATGCAGATTATTTCTTCAACCAACAATTTTATCCTTAAAGTGCTTTTTGTTAAATAATCAATTTGGAAAACACGTGTTTGAGAAATATTATTTAACATCTTTGTTCAAATCATTGGAGATCACATCAAATGATTTTGGCACATGCTACTTGTTCTACTACCAGCGCGAGTCTGAGGATGACTGCAAGTAGTTACTGAGTTACTACTTGCTGAGTAGTAACTCAGTTACTACTAGTGAGTTACGAAGTAACTCTTTTTTTTGTGACAATAAACGCTCAATAATTGGATTAAAAGGGCAGTAAGTGAACAGTGTTTATAACTTATCCGCACTAGGATCCGTGCGTGTGTGCGTATGTAAATCCATGCGACTCGTTCTCTATCCCGACATCCCTGATTTCGCGTGCAGCGTTTAATCCCAGCCAGAGCGCAGGGCCGTAAATAAAGGCCCCACCGCGACTTTGATAGCGAGCGAATGGCCCCTAATGGAGCCCCCCCAGGCTGACACAACACTATGCTTTATGGCTGTTTACGTCTACCACCCAGAGAAGGCAGACTGTGTGCAGGCCCAGTCCCTTCACCTGGACTTAACCTCCTGGCTTGGGGCTGTAAATCCAGGCGCGGGGCAGATGAAAGGCCAGAGGGCTGGATGGAGGACATGGGAACGCCGTCGTGATGTGGGAGACAGCAGAGGAGACACAGCAGCCAACAGCAGGAATATTTACACACATAAACGCACACATCCAAGGATAGCAGTTCAAACTAGTGCACACTGCAAAAAATGATAAAATATGGGGTTATAATTGCTTGAATCCACTGTTTTAATCTTTACCCGAGTACATTCTCAAAAGAAAATTGCCTATGGGAAAACAATTTAGTCTGATTTCAAGAACTGTTGCTAATAGAAAAGATAATGTTGTTTTTCCCATTGGCAAATCTTGTTTTAAGGCAGTATTTTTCATGACTTTTTGTACAGCCAATTACTTCATATCAGGAGTGGAACAAGCACTGCAGATGTATTAAATTATTTTTACTTTTTTACATTTATATTTTTATTTGTTGTCTTCTATTTTAGTTTTTTTTACGGCCATGATAATGGATTGGTAATAAGGATGTTATTATGATGATCTTTGCATTCAAGCCATCATTGCTCTGACGATCCCTGTTCGTCCACTGCTTCACGCCCAGCACTCTTTACTTGTTTGTTTGTTCATCTGTGAAGAATTCATGTAGCTTTGTCAAAATACTGACACAGATTTCCATTATATCTCAGACCAGGCATGATCTATGGCCCAGCAGTGAGAATGAGCCGTTTGACAAGGAACGCTTAAAATAGAAGGAAAATGTCATGTCTAGATCGAGATAAGACGTTCAAGAATTTAAAGTTCACAGTGCATGCTCAAAAAGGATTTCAGAAAATTCCATTGAAATTATGAACTGCTAAACTAATCCATTGCATAAAGTCAAATGTGGCGATTAAGAATTATTCCTGATATTCATGCCTACTTTTACTCTTTACCCAAAAATCTGTCTTTTCTTCTTCTCATATTTAAAGTGTGTGTGTGTGTGTGTGTGTGTGTGTGTGTGTGTGTGTGTGTGTGTGTGTGTGTGTGTGTGTGTGTGTGTGTGTGTGTGTGTGTGTGTGTGTGTGTGTGTGTGTGTGTGTGTGTGTGTGTGTGTGTGTGTGTGTGTGTGTGTGTGTGTACGTATGTATACGTATATATATATTTTTTTTAAACCTATGCAGATGATTATACACAGTTTAAAGGTCAAGACAATTTTCCGGAACTTTTTTGATATTGTCTTGAAGTGATTTCTGGTGCTTAAGCTGGGAATCGGGATGATAGCTGTATTCTACTTTTACATGTTTTGTTTATAATTGGTCATATTTTGTGTCTGTTTGAAACAACTGTGCAATCCATAAGTCATGACTCTCTCTGTGCATTGGCCAACGGCGAGCAAAGGCCTGTGTGTCGCTGCGACTGTGCGTTACTATGACAACACGTCATCCTACTTTTGCTTCTAACTTCAAACCGTGTGTGTGTGTGTGTGTGTGTGTGTTGCAGATGCAGATGTCGGAGCGGGCCTGTGAAGTGGCAGACCTCAAACGCAGCCTGGCGCTGGCGCTCAGAGACAAAGAGCAGCTCCTGGAGGTACAGACTCACTGTAGCAGCTGAGACCCACATCCATGGGATCCATAGGATCCATGGGATCCTCATACATACAACTGAAGAACTCATCCTATTCTCTTGAGTATGTTTTACTCTGGACCCCCAAGTGTGAGCTTTTACTTACTTTTGTTTTAGAAATCATGTACGGTTACACACCTGGGCACCCCGAGTGTTTAGTGACTGTGTGCAGTGTTATTACCATAATTAAATTACTGAATAAATGCTTTACTTTGTAAATACTTGTAATAACTTTACTGTTTTTATCTAAATACTCAGCAAGTAAACGATGTATCTTAATCTCACACATCTTAAACAAGCAGCAGCAGAGTGTGGAGATATTTGCCACAATTTCAACATAAAAGCCCATCATTTATATAACCTTGCAAATAAAGTAATTCATAAGTAATGACCGCTGTGAGACTTGTGTAGTAGTGTAACTTATTTCATATTCATCATCAAATAATTACTGTCAAGTGAGTAATTAGTTGAGTCTGATTACTCACAATTTTGATATTAAACGCATTGTGCATTGAGTGTGTTTCTCGCAACTTTTTTCTTGTGACGTCAACTCGTTGGACTTTGAAGGGGAAGGACAGAGGGATTATTACTAGTATTACCCAAAGCCTTTTGGGTAAAATGAGGTATAACATGCCAGGGTAGCAGACTTGATTGAATTTACTTTCCCATTGATTTAAGGTATATAGGAGGTTTTTCTTTGTCATCTAGACATCTAGATCATCTAGACCAGGGGTATCAAATCAGTTCCAGAAAGGGCTCATGTTTTACTTCCAACCTGAGCAGGAGAAATCTGGTCAGACGGGACCAGAGTGTTTTTGGAGATTTTTTTACACAATAGCTTGCACTGAAAGCCCAGGTTGGGCTACCCACTGATGCTTCAGTAACCTTTAATTAACATATTGATATTTGGAATTGGCATATCGATTATGAGTCAAAGTATTGCAGTATAAAGCAAAGTGTATATTTTGGCACACTACTAATACACACTATTGAGCACTGGCAGATAAAAACGTCTAATTCTAGTAAAATGAGTAAAATATTGCCAAAGTGTCAACATTTCTGTGAACTTTGAAGCACAAATTTAAGTAGAAAATGCGGTCAATGAAAAGCAATACTCCCATCTGGTGGTAAAAGTGGGAAATTACATTGTACTAGATTCAGAACTTAATTTGAAAATGGCTGCTTTGGCTGTAGCCGACCAAAGGCACCAAACATTGAAAGTGCTCAAACTGCAAACGAAAGACAAATTATAGCACAAGAGTGTGTTTCCCGAGTATTTCCAAAGGTCAAACTCGGCCATGACGTCTCCTTTTGCCCGTGCTACGGCTGATTGCTCGACTTGACACATCTTTAGAGTTATTTCAGCCCACGCTGAAATACCACAGCCCTTCTCCGTCGTGTACGCACTTTCCCTCTGGATAATGAAGACATCTGGAGCGGGCTCTGGCTTTTAGTACGCCGCCCATCAGACAGAGCAAATGCCAGGCGACATGTCTGTTCCACCTTCTCAACCCTGGTTTAAATGTTAACGTGCGCCGTGGAGAGCTAATGAAGTCATGAGGAGCAGAGGAAGAAGGGAGAGGAGGAGGCCGACACCATTACAGTCATCATGGACATACTAATGCAACGCTCTGCTTTTAATGACCAGCCCAAAGGGATGGGCTGCAGTGACATTTCTACTGGGGGAATATTAGGCCCATACACAGTCATACTGTGGTATTCTGAGGTATTTTTGATCATGATAACAAAGAGCTTCTTTACAACTTTTACTACTTTTCAGTTCAATTTATTTTTGTCTAGCCCTAAATCACAACAGTAGTTAACTTTATAAAGGTGTCGATTAACCAACACAGAACAGATCAGATAATGGGAAAGTTTTTGATTTACCACTCAATCAATGCTTCCACCATCACAGAGTAGAGCTGCTGCTCCTCCATGCTGAGACGAGCCAGCAGGAGGAGGTTTGGACATCTGTGAGGAGACTAAGTGTGGCCATCTTTTTGCATCTTTGCATATTTCTCCCGGTGTTTGGACAAGTTTCCTCTGGACGCTCCATTTAAAATCCTCCAGCCCTGGTTCTGACCAAAAGTACCAACTTCTGGAGATGGCCACTGCTCCTGCCAGGTTGCCCTAGCGACATTGGTACCCAAACCTAAACAAAGCCAACGAACAAAGTAGCAGATAACTGTGAAGTGAAAGCAAAACATCCATCCATCCATCCATTTTCTACCCTTTAATCCATTTCTGGGTCAGGGGGGTGACAGTCAGAGATGCCACCCAAGTCTCATAGCACCAGCCCCTCACTGACCCTCTGCAGGTGGTGAGTCCACAGGAGGGAAAGCAAAACATTTACACATTAAAAACATGCATAAGTAACCGGACAGTATTTAGTGCATTCAAAGCCTTTAAAAATGTCCAAATGACTGCTGATTGTTAATATCTTGTCCTATCAATTAAATAGACCCAACCTGTGTGAGTAATCTCCTCTCAGTAGAATTACAGCTGGTCTGGGATGGCCTCAGTGTATTGGTCACTAAACAGCATCATAAAACATGGTCATATCATAAAAACATTTCCCAAACTTTGAACATCTCACAGAGCACTGTTTAATCCAACATCTGTGAATGGAAAGAGTATGGCACAACTGCAAATCTACCAAGACTCGGCTGTCTGCCCAAACTCACAGCTCAAACTAGGACAAAACTAATCTCGGATGCAGACACGAGACCAATGGTTATTCTGGAGGAGCAGCAGTCATCCGCAGCTCACCTGGGGGAAACTGTACATACTGCACACATCTTTCCTGTATGGATGGATTTGGAAGAAGACGCTGGGGTCAGATGAGACCAAAATAGACACTTTTAATGCCCAAATGCAAAATGTTTTGTATGGCTCTAAATTAACACAGCTCATCAGAGCAGTATTTCTCGATTTAAAAAAAGCTTTTGATACTGTAAACCACCAAGTACTCTTGAGAAAACTGAAACAACTAAACTTTTCCAAACAAGCTTTAAATTGGTTTAAATCATACCTTGCATCAAGACAACAGTGTGTAAAAATAAATGGTGTTAAATCTACCATCCAAAAATGTAATTTAGGTGTACCACAAGGGTCGATATTGGGCCCCTTGTTGTTCTGTCTATACATAAATGATTTACCGTAAATCTGCAAAAAATACCAGCTGCCAATTGTATGCAGATGACACAATCATTTATGTAGCTGCAGATTCCCCTAAACAGGCTTCAGACTTGTTGAACAGACAGCTTGTCAGCACATCTCAGTGGCTGTGGGACAACTGTCTGACCTTAAATTATACTAAAACTGTTGCCATGTGTTTCTCTCTAAAGAGAAATTCACCAAATGATCTAAACATTAATATTGACAAAATAAAATCGAGCAGGTTGATGAGTTTAAGTATTTGGGGGTTATTATAGATTCTAAACTGAAGTTTGATGCCCATGTCAGAAAAATGTCTAAGACAATCAAGACAAATTTAAATTGTTTCCGTATAATTAGGTCTTGTGTATCAACTCAGGCGGCACGAGTATATCTACATGCTATGATTTTATCTCATATGTCGTATTGTTCAATCGTTTGGGGCCAGGCCTCACAATCTGTCCTAAAGCCTTTAACATCACTCTACAAGCAAACACTTAAAGTGTTTGATCAAAAACCAATGAAGTGGCATCACTGCACTATCATTCAAAAATATAAAATGATGACATTCGATAGCTTCGTCAGTTTCTCTTTTATAAAAAATATATTCAAGTGTCTTAATGGTCTTGCTCCGTCTGTAATGTGTCAGTTAGTACAAAAATACACTAATCAAGGAGTGAGCACCAGAGCTGGAGTCAGCGGGAACTGCAGAGTGAAACTGCTCTGGGTCAGTCTGCGTTCTCAGTAAAAGGGACACAGTTATGGAACTCTTTACCACTGGAGCTAAAGTCCCAAATGGACCTGAGACTTTTCTCACAAAAGCTGAAGCTGTGGCTAAAGAACAAACAAAAGTGTGAGCACTGAACAGTTTGGCTGGACTTGGGATCGGAAGTGGTCAGATATGTCTTCTCCTCTTTCTTTTTATTGTTGTATTGTTTGATGCCTTTTACTGATTTTTCATCTTTCTGTTCTGTTTTAAACCCCTTTGAAAAGCCTAACCAGGGACGGGGGCTGCAAATTAGCCTATGGCTAGACGCCTTATGTACATAACATCAGCCACTGAGCTGGCAATGTTTTCTTGTACTGTCCCTGTCAAATAAACAAATAAATAAAAAAATAAAAAATCACTGTCAGTGCCCCATCTCCAGTGTCAATTATGGGACACACACACACACACGCGCGCGCACACGCACACACACACAAGATAAAACCATAAAAACCCTCAGTATTGTGATAAAAAAAATAATTAAATAATAATAATAATTTTGCAAGGAACTGAAATCCCAGCAGATCAACAGATCAATTATTCCTTCTTTTTTGTGCAGCTCATTTGTCCGATTGTAATGTGTGTTTGTGCGTGTGTCTGTGTGCCAGGAGCTGCAGCGGTCTGTCAGCCAGCAGAGGGAGGAGGCCAAACAGCCAATGGTGTTAAGGTACCCCCTGCCCTACACCCAGGAGCCCTGCCCGCCCCCCCTGGTGCCCCAGCAGCCCCCTGAGCTGCGCTTTGGGAACCCTTACTCCAGCGACACCAAAGGTACCTCTGTGCTCTGCACTTCACATGTCATTATTCTTTCACTCCATACACGGTGGTGATAAACTATTGTAGCCAGAGCTGCCCTGGGGCACATTGACAGAAGCGAGGCAACCAGTCTGTGTCCTTGGCCCCTCCGACCACCACCACCCATTCACACACACACCAGACTCATTCTAGGCAATGGGGGTGAAGTGCCTTGCCTAAGGACACAACGGCAGTTTGGCACTTTACAGCCGCAGCCGCCCCACTGTGGCTGGTGTTCTCAGAGGTTAAGTGTCTTGCCAAGGACACAACGACAGCAGACAGTGGGAGTCGATGGTGAAAGTCGGGCTCGAACGCACGACTCTCTGGCTCATAGGCGAATGCTCTACCAAATTAGCTATTGTCGCCCTAAACCCAGACTCATTCTAATGTGGTTGAAAGTGTCTTGCCTAAAGACACAACCTCAGTTTGGCGCTAGTCTCCCATCACAGTACTGGAATTGTGAAATATTTGCCCCAACATTTTTTTACTTCTCCACCAGTTTTACTGCTTCTCAGTCTTTACCTTTTTTGACCAATGTCCATAAACGTTGTTGAATGTCTTTATGAAGCACTTCGGGTTTCACTGCATGAATTGTGCTTTATAAATAAACTTTTATATGATTTTAAGACCCTCAAAACAAAGGCTAAAGCTTGCCTCTGTGTCGTTCTTATGCAGAGTGCGTGGATGCGGCCGTGTCTCCGGACCTCCTGCCCTTGCCGCCTCCTGAGCCCTGTGCCCCGCCCCTCTCCCCCTCTGGCCCCACCCACAGCTCAGGGCCTGGAGCGGCAGGCTGGGCCCGGGAGGAGGTGGTGTGTATCCAGCCCAGCCGCAGCAGCAGCAGCAGCAACAGCAGCAGCCCCCCAGAGAGCGCCGAGCAGCCTCCACAGGACACGGTGAGGAACGCGCACAGACTTAGAAGCACAGCTAACCACAATGAGTTAGGAAGCAGGGCAGAGTTGTAAAATACTGCTACCAGGAAAAAATTACCTTCCACCTCCTGAAAGGCACGTGGGTTAGGGTTTGTCCCACTAAGTCAAAATATGGTCAAAGGCCTGTGTTTCTTCACTCTTTAAAGGTGCAGTAAGCAATTTTGTTAGCTTAGCCGTAGCACCAACTCGAAACCACTCCCCCCTCCCCTCGCCTCTCCACCAAACCAAACATCCAGCTGTTCAGCCCTTTTATGTTTCAGAAAATCCGATAACTCAGGTGCACTCGCGAGAAACAAGAAGAGGGTGAAGGGGGTAAACGCGTCCCTTTGGTTCGTTAGGAATGAACAAATCCAATTGGTTTAATTTTATCAATATTTTTTGTAAATTTTTGGAGACTAAAGTCATCTGGTCAATTCCATTACTATTTGAAACCACGTGATAACTTGACTCCTTTTAGGGTTTAGGGACGTTTCCCCACAGTATTTTAAAAAATGCGTCTGGAAAAAATCACTGACTGCATCTTTAATGCACTGTGATTTTTGATGATTTTAATGCCTAATTTTCTTGTTTGAATTGTGCTATACAAACAAACTCGCCTAGATTTGGCCGGTGTTTAATTAGACACATATATCTTTTATAATATTTCACAATAGTCTTTGCAAAGCGATCTATGATCAAAGTACAGTTATATTTTACCTCAGCTCAGACTCATGCTTTCTCCAGAGCTCTGAACAGGAGGCGGGACTTACCATCTGCATGTATCTATTGACCAGATGCATCAACGTCATCCAGTCACGTGATTGTGAATGAGCTTACGGCGGAAGTATTGGAAACTAGCATTGCTGCGAGAGCAAAACGGACTACAACTCTTAAAAACGGAGCTTCCTCTCTTAAATCGAGAAGTGGCTGCTTCAAGCAATGTTCGATTACGTTATAGGTGGAAGTAGGACATCAGGTCAGGGCTCACAAAGAGTGGTATTTGGAGAAGTTAAGGATCGCCGAACTGGATGTTGACCCGTACCTTCTCCCCCCAGTCAATTTTATCAATTAAATAAAATGTCTACTTTTGCCCAAATTCACCCTACATGATCTTTATCATTATCGTTAACAATGCATCCCCTCACACTGGAGCAGATTTATATGTACATTTTGCTGGTAGCATTAGCAATAGTCCACTAGGCCAAATATGATACGTACTGACGGAGAGGAAAATAGTGAAACACGCAATTGACTTAAAAGATAAAAATGTCAATGTTGCAGCGCACATACAGGACAGTAGTAAGAGACACGTTTGACGTGTGTCATTGTCCTCCAAATTAATGGAAATAAAATAAATACAAACTTGTGATTGCTTTATCTTGTAAAAAGTGTTCACTGCATATTAGGGAGTACTTGGATGGGTCCCAGTCCTTTTGGTTGATTGCCGCTGGCCATCGTCGTCTTCTTTCTTCATGACGAGCAGGTATCAGATAAAAAAGCTTATGTCCTTGCCTGTTAGTATAATCAACCGCACTGCAAAATGTCACAGTTTTGGCTGTAATGCGCTGAAACAGGTTGTTTTGGTCAGGTGTCCGTAGGCTCGCAGTAGACTTCTGCCGTCTGTCATGGAGAGTGGGCGTGGCCGGGACGTCACATACAAGGGGTCAATATGAGTGAGAACCGACCAATCACAGCTCACCTGGGCTCTGAGAAGTCAGCACTTCGCCAACCGCTGACATACGTCTGCTCACTAACATCCAGGACCACTGCCCATTCCTCTCTGTGGCTGACCTCTGGAGCTTCCTGTCTGTGGTGCCTTCTCTGTGCCTTGGGAAAAGGAGGCTTAAATATAGAATCAGGCAATGACAATTCTACTCTAAAAAAGCAACAGTTCAATTCAATTCAATTCAATTTTTTTGGTAATGCCCTAAATCACAACAGTAGTTATTGGAGCACTTTACAAAACCGTTGATTCTCAAATCATTAATGACAAAACAAGGAATAACGGGAGGATTTCTATTGGGGCCTTTGTGACAAAGGTGTTGGTTACGAATTTGTTGTTAACGAAACTCTGGATTCGTCTGCATATCTGACAACCTGAGTCAGGGAGAGTGGGAGAGGACTACAGATTATTGACAGTGAATGCAGTACCGCTTTTTGCCAGATTTTTACATATTGCTCCTTTGAATGAAATGCTTTTATAAGGTCTTATGATCCCTGAATATACGTCCTCCTCTACCACAGCGTGAATAAAAAATAACAGAACTTAAACCAGAGCTTTTGGACACATCCTACAACTAAATCTAATCTAAATCCTGAATATAAAACATGTGGCCACAGTGATCATGGTCAACTCTGTGGTCCAACCAGAAACAACCCATGTTTAATGAACTACCGTTGTCCTTGTAACCCACTTCTACCAAAACCTGATTAGCATAACTTTACTAAAGCCCTTGTTTTTTGTCTTCTCTCCACATCGCGGCTGTGTCTCCTTCGACAGCGGCTGTGCAGAGAAGGCGCTCTCATTTACATACAGCTCTAATTAACGTCAGCGCGTCAGGCTCGGCAAGACAATTAAGCAGGTTTTTTACATAAGCCTGTTCGATCTCCCGGGATTATCTCGGCTGGCGCACGTTACTCGGCTTTACTCTATGCTAATCTCCAAGTTTAAACATGACAGCACTTTTTCAGCCGTCTCGCCCGGCTGCTCTGACCTAATGAAACAAGGTGTGGCTTCTGTGTCGTAGGCAACGGGAGCAGCGTCTGAGGAACCGGCGCATCAGCCCAGCGCCGCCTTCTGCTTCGACTCCAGGTGAGAAATGCAGATCTTTGAACAAGGAAACCAATGTGGGGTCCCTGGACACTGTGGACAAGTGCACATTCTGACATTGCTCTATTTCACGTTATTGCAGTATTTACTATTTACAGATGAGATGTATATAGACTGAGCAGTTCTCATTGTACTGTCTGACAGCAGCAGGGAGGAAAGACCTACAAAACCGTTCCTTCATACAGTGAGGGTGGATCTAGAGTGTCCTGCAGGGGGCGACAGTCATGTTCCAGATGTTAGTTTGTCAAGGTGCCTCCTTCCGACAAAATATTGCAAACAAGAATTGTGACTGTGGCCACGCCTCCCAGAGATGGTGGAGGGCTGAAATCGGGCAAAATCCTGTGATGTGCAGCAGCTTAACAACAGCGGGTACCTGTGCTCTGGTATCTTTTAGACTGTAGTATATAGTACTGGTCTATAGTACTCAGCCGTCTTTACCTTTGATACTGTTCTGTTTCAATCCAATCACAAATGTGGGACTACACCACATGTGGGACTCAGTGGGAGCGGGTCCCGGCTCAAAAGTGGCCAAAGTGACGTGCTTGTAATGTGGACCTGCATCTGCTTACCTCTCGAAAACGTCTTTACAGGATGGTCCAAAAGTTGGCTCTTGGCCCAAAGCTCCGTTCCACATGTGTGTCAATGCTGAGGGGAGGGAATTTTTTTGGACCAGTCTAGTTTAGTCGCTGTAAAGTTTTGAAGGCACTCGTTAAATGAATGGGGCTCGTGCCGGCGGACTTGGTTTAAAGCGGGGTGTCCAACCTTTATCCCAATGGAGAGCTTCTTTTTCAGGACAAAAAAGGCCGAGAGCTACTCCTTTAGGCAGTTCTCTCTTAAGCAGAAATTGTTTTATAAGTGTTTAACTGTAAACAATCTATAATCTTTCTGATTTTAATCTTTCTTGTCTTGTTTTGTTAAGCACCTTGAGCAGCCTTCTGTATAAACTTGTTTTGCCTCGCCAGCTGTTATACATCTGTAATGCACAAAATGAAAGATGTACAGTATAACAGGTGTTGGCGTCGCTAACATGAAATAATCAAGGATTCTTTGAAATGCTTAAATCCTTTGGGGAGCTACTTGGAAGGGGGTGGAGAGCTACTGGGAGCTATCGAGCCCAAAGTTGGTGTCCACTTGTTGTGTTTGCAGCACTCTCGTGTGCATTTCCTTCTACAGACATGTTTGAATAGGCACCGACGCAAGTATAATCTTTGTGTCACTTTATTAGCATCCGCGCTGTAAAGATTTGCACTTTTCCCGATAAAGCGGCCACAGAAAGAGACAATTCAAAGTGCATCACATAACAACGTAAATAATGATCGTTATATGAGAACCCTGATGTTAACACCACTGATCTAAAGTGCTGCGTTGGTAAATGTTGTGTGTAAATGTTGTGTGTCCAGCAGCAGTGCGTCCCACCGGCGCTGCCCTCTCTGCGAGCTCATCTTCCCGCCGCACTTCGAGCAGAGGAGCTTCGAGCAGCACGTGGAGTCTCACTGGAAGGTCTGCCCCGTGTGCGACGAACACTTCCCGCCGCACTGTCCCCAGCCGCTGTTCCAGAGACACGTCCTCACGCACTTCGACGGCCACGTGCTCAACTTCCACCAGAGCCACTGAGACCACCGCCACCGCCACGGGCCCACCTCCCACCCGCCCAGTCCCCCCTCCCCATCCCCATTGTGCCCAGAAACCATCCAGACCGAGCCACAGACACACGGGAGAGAGAGAGAATCCTGTGAATGAGAGAAAATGATGCATTCCAAGTGTGGACTGCACTGCAAAAAGTGATGAGAAATAAGTCAAAAACGCCTCCAATTTTGTTAAATGTGTCTTAATACGAGCAACTGCTTTGAAACAAGATCTGCCAAAGAGACAAGCAAAAGTCTCTTGTTTTCAACGGTTTTGTCCCATTGGCAAATCTTGTTTTGAGACAGTCAGAATATGCTCAAATTAAGATACAAAATGTGATTATATCCTTATATTTAGTCATTTTTTGCAGTGTGCAGTCGCCTTACCCCCAGTTTACACCCGCCGTCTTGGCTGCCTGTTTGCTGCGTAACCATAGACGATTGTAAAGCGCCTTTTCACTAAATATACACCAGTAGTGAAGTGCATATAACGAGCATAATTATATCACACATTGCTATGAATAACAGAGGTAGGAATTGGCTAAAATATGACAATTCAATTCAATATTATTGCGATTCCTAACATGTTGCGATAAAATTCTGCCATGTATCGTGATTCATGTTCCTCATAATATTTTCTTCCATTACAAACATGGAGGAAAATGAGTCGAGTAGTGCAAAACAATTACCCTTGAACATTCAGGACACAGACAAGACATAATTATTCTCTGATTAGACGACTCCCCCCAGAGAGCGAAAAAGGCGTAGACTGAGGCCGCTTCCTCTGCGTGTCTCCCGTTGTCTACGTTAACCCTTACATGATGTTGTGCACTCTGTTTGGTGTAAATTGGGGGTTTGTGCTCAAAGGGTCTGTACCTGATGTTTTCACTACCTGGGGTACCTGGGGTTTTCACTCTAGAACCGGTTTCATGGATTTTCTATCTTGAATTTATTTGGTGGGATGAATTATGAAGGATGGAGGATTCTGGGTCGTTGCGTTCAGTGCAGAGAGAGGCCTTCGCTCCGCCCACTTTGCGATGCCATGGTGACGATGGTAGATAATCATGTGATCGACCAATCAGTGACTGCAGCTGGAGCTGGGAAGCACAGGGAGGAATGTCGCGGAGTTTGTCGAAGATTCTCATGTTTGTGTAATTATGAATGTAGACAGTGGACATGGGTTAGTATGTATTCAAAGCAGCGCGTAACAAAGTGTCTTCATCGAGGTATTCTGGGAGATGTAACAATTTAAAATGTACGCATTAATTGCTGTATCTCACTATTATTATTATCACTGTCCTCATTGCCGGCCAAACACACTGCAAAAAGAGTTGAAAAATGTGTTAAAAATTGCTCAAATGAGGCTAAACGTCTCGTAATTTGAGCACTTTTGCCTTTAAACAAGAGTCACCAGTAGGAGAAAGCAAAATGTCTCCCTTTGAATGAGAAAATAAAGAATCAGTCCTTGAAATAATAGTAAATGGCTTTGTCCCATTGGAAAATCTTGTTTAAAGACAGTCAGAATGTGCTCAAATTAAGATAAAAACCACTCCGTTCAAGTATTTATTACCTCATATTTGATCATTTTTTGCAGTGCATGTGCAGTGGATCGCCCAGTCTGTTTATGTACTCGTAAAAACATGACAGTTCCCTTCATTTAAAGTCAGAAGAAAACATTTGTGGCTTCTGTGGTTAGTATAGAGGACTACCGCAGTCTCCCAGCAGCCTCAGTCCTGCTCCAAGATTGATATCTCTGCGATCAGTTCAGGTGGTAGGAAAGTGTATAAAGTGTGCGGGGTTTTACAGCCTTGAAACATAAAGCCACTACTGAGAGGATCTCACTTTATCGCAAGTTATTTTTAGAACGTAACATCGCAATAAACCAGGGACCACTTTATTCTGGACGTGTGAATTTCTGTCAGACTCGGTGGCATGTGAGAAATTGCCCTGACAATCTGATTAGTCTGGTATGATTCTGTTCGGACATAATTCAACCTAGCCTGGTCGTACCACACCATAGTGCAAATTACATTTCATACTAAGGTCTGGATGTGCTCCATTGAGCTCCGTTAACAGATAGGAGGGGTTAACTCCTTTTAAGTTTACAGTGACATGTAATGTGTCCGAGTGAGTCGTTAGCATTTAGCATTTAGCCTAGCCATCTCCTTTGCAGCTAACGGAGCCCGTAGGGAGTAGGTAGCACCACAAATTTTGCTAAACTTTCCTCTTGCTCCGGCTTCAATTTCTTGATAGAACCAGACCGGATTACTTTACAATCGCATTCTTCGCCATTGCCAAACTACAACCTGCTCATTTGGCACAAACTCTTGACGTCACCCACAACTAACTACAACACCCACCTCCCGTGGGTGGTGGATTGGTCGGATGGAATTCAACTGATTGTATTCGCTAACACAGGGACCAGACCCAGACGTTACATGCAGTGAAATGATGATTGAGTGTACGGATGGCTATGGCCAGGCTAAATTCAACCTCAACACTGCAAAAAATAAGGAATTAAGAGGTAATAATTGCTTTAATCTAGAGGTTTTTATCTTAATGTGTGTGTGTGAATGGTTGGTGGTGGTCGGAGGGGCCGATGGCACATACTGGTTGCCTCGCTTCTGTCAGTGTGCCCCAGGGCAGCTGTGGCTACAGTAGTGGTTTATCACCACCGTGTTCGGAGTGAAAGAATAATGACATGTGAAGTGTCTTTGAGCGTCCAAAAAGCGCTATAAAAAACCGATGCCTTTAATCTGAGCACATTCTGAGTGTCTTAAAACAAGATTTTCCAATGGGACAAAGCCATTCAGTATTAATTCAAGAACTGGTGCTTTGTTTTCTCATTCCAAGGGAGGTGTTTCTTGCATCTTTTTAAAACAAGATCATTTTGCTCAGCCACATTGGCAAATCTGGTTTTAAGGCAGTCCAAATCTGCTCAAATTAAGATACATTTTGCCGAATTTGAGGAAGGTTTTACTTATTTTCTTGTCACATTTTGCAGTGAACGGAGCCGTGCAAAACTGAAAATCCCACCGGAAAATGAAGTAGGGCGGGGCTAATGTTCGAGAGGACTGAAATAAAACTGGGCTGGCACTGTGGAAGAGGCAGGACTTCTGGCAAAATAAATCCTAATACCTTTAATATTGTGCAAGTTTAACACCAACATATTTCATATCGACGCCACGAAGCTCAAGAATCCTTAATTTGATGTAAAAAAAAAATAAAAATGCCGTAAAAGACAATCGAGCTTGAGTTTCATCTGGTACAGACCCTTCGAAGCATGAATGAAGCGCAGGCGGAGGTTTCCACTAAAATATGTGGATTTAGAATTCTTGTTATTATTCTGGCGGCGACCAGAGCCAGCCAACATGTCTCCTGTAAAGTGGCTCGTCTTGTGAATATTCAATCATTTGCACTTTTCCGGATTCAGCAGAAGTGAAGAACGTGAAGAATGTAAAACTGCATGGTTCCCGGGTGTCACGGCTTTATATTTGAATGATACACAATCGGCTGCTACGACGACGACGGGGGCGACGGGGCCATCGATAATGTAAATAAGATTTTTATGGAAACGGGTTTTGACTTGAAGGGAGCAGACTCTGAAAGTTACTGTGCATATTCTTGTTTTTCCTTTTACCACCGCGCATCAATTCTAACGCCCTTTCTGTGTCTGAATAGTTCTTTGTATTCAAGTAAAAGTGCAGACATGACTCCAGTATCGCGGGAATATGCGTACTTAAAGGAACTGTACGAAGATTATACGAAGAAGGGAACGCCCAGGAAGCTGCCTTTGCTTATAGGCATAATATAATTGTCTGCGTTCCTAAAACAATTTCTAAACGCAGCGCTCTGGAGCCGTCTGTGCTCTGAAGGAAATTACTGGACATTAAATAGAGTAAACAAAGAATGGACCTCCCTCAGATATTAAAGAAATGAAGTCGTCGTTCATAGCAGGTCGCTCAAAGCTGCTCTGACACGACACACACATAGTTCCTTGAAATGGATACAGAACCAAAATATGCTGCGGTTGGCCTTTTCTGCGTTTCAATTCAATGTCTTCTTGTATCGCCATAAATCACAACAGTAGTTATCTCTGAGGACTTTACAAACTGTTGAATTTGCCAACACAGATCAGAGAATCAAACCGTTAAAACACAGGAAATGCAAAGATTAAAACACATAGAGCCATTGGTCCTTAAAGGGCAGAGACCAATGTTCATAAATGTTGTCGAATGTGGAGTGTCCTGGATCATCTCTGTCCTCAGACCCTAAAAACCCAGTGGGAGGAAAGTGGGAAACTTCAGGGAGGCCCACATTGAGGGAGGGATCCGCTCCCACAGACGGATGGACTATAGATCCAGGAGTCAGGCTGCAGAACGAGGACTGAGAGTTGAGGAATAGATAATATGTTACTCCAGTATTTCAGGATTTTTCAGATTTCTATTTCAAAATCATGTTCATTTTATTTTAAATGAAGACTCAGTGGTTTGGGAATCAGAAAACGCACAGAGGAAAATCTCAGACTCACAGTTCCTTTAAGGACCTCTAAAATGTAGGTACTTTTCATCTGTTTCATATGTTTTCAAATCACAACTTCACAAATTATAACATTTTAGATCGTACTTGAGTATGTGGTAAGTAAGGGGTATGTGAAATATAGATATTTCTCATACAAAAGGTTCAGGATTCTTATATATTAAATTTATTAAAGTCAAGATAAACGTTCCATGATTGAAACATTTTAGCTTCAATTAAGGAACCTTTAACCTAATGTTAAATAACTAATATTATTGAAGTTATATTATGCATTAATTTAGCCATAAAAATGTCATAATGCGACTATTTACTTTGTCATTTCATGTTTTAGAACAAGAAATAATCGCTTCAGTAGAAATTATAGGGTGAAACTGGTATGAAGAGTAAAAATGCTTTCTGTCTGTAATTCCCCGTGCTGCCACCAGGGGGAGGAGTCACAATCGGATGTTG